TTTTGTAGCGGTTTTATTTTATGGTGCTTCGGCTACATCATTTTATTCGATCCTACTTAGAACATGCATTACATGTGTGGGAGCTTCACTGTTTTATAGGTCTAGAGGTAGTTTCAAAATTGATTATCAAGAGCCTCTCCCTATACGACGATTACTTAAGCCCGAAATTGAAATTTTAGGCTTATGTATGGCGTAGATAGTCGGTATAACCTTACACAATTTCTAATTAACCAAACACGAACCCGACTAACAAAACGTTTCTTTGCATATAAAAAAGCTTAACAAAAGTTTGGTCAGTTGGTGACTTTCAATTTGTTTTTGTTAAATCTAAATATACCAAATTCTTTGCAACTTCTTTATTAGTCTCCCTTTCAAATTTTAGAACGATTCGTCTAGAATCAGACGAGAAAATGTAAGATATCTGGGGAAAAGTCAGACGAAATTCCACCAACAACGCAAACAGAAATTCGCCAAGTGATTCTCTTTGAGTTTCGGCGTGATTAACAGCAAATACAAATTTCTACTGAATGGCAAATTGCATATGGAACGATTGCACCGTCTTAGAGACTCTTTCTAAGTAATTCCGAAAATTCCAGATTAGACAGTTTTCTGTAAAGGACGAGCCCCGAGCAGGTCGTCCAAAATCTTCCACTGAAGACGATACTATAGCTCTGGTGAAGTTCAAAATTAACGAAGACCCACGATTGACACCAGAAATGATTGTTAGTGAGTTGGGCTTGAATGGCATCGAATGCTAAGGAATAATATGTGATACACAAAGAAATTCGCTCGATGGTTACCACGAATTTTAAATAAGGCCCAAAAAGAGACTCGAATGTATTTTGTTTCCTTAACAAATTCGAAAGTCGTCAGTCTAGCAGCTTTAGTAAAGTCGTTACTGGTGACGAAAATTGGTTCTATAAGTACGATTTAGAAACCAAACAGCAGTCCATGGTATGGAGACCAACCAAACCTACCTATAAAATCTAAGCAACAAAAATTAGCAGTAAAAGTAATGATGTCTGTTTACTTCACCCGATCTAAAATCAGAGCTGCTCTTCCACTGGAAAAGGGTCAGACGGTAACGCCGAAATAGTGCACCGAAGAGTGCTTACCAAAAGTTTTCAAATATTTGTTGGAAAACAGGAAGAAATAGGATTTGCGGCGCTACTTTTTACATCATGACAACGCGCCATGCCACTCTGCTGAAATAACGAGTAATTTTATTGCGACCTCTGGGATCGAAGAAATACGTCCAGCACTATATTCCTCGGATATAGCAACTTGTGATTTCTGGTTATTTCCAAAAATTAAAAACAATATTTAAAAGGAAAGGTCTTTAGTAGCAACGAGGAGATAATAAATGCGGTTAATGCTGAACTTGATAAACTTAAAAAGCAAGATTTTGAAGACTGTTTTCAGAAGTGACTCTATAGGCGTAAAAAATGCATTGAAACCAATGGCGGTTAAAAAAAAAATTCTGGTCTACTTACCGAACTTGTGTTAATCACCTCGTATATCTAGCAAGAAATAGTATATCACTTGGTTTTAGGTCACCAACTCATCTAACTAACCTCAACTCCCTTTAATCGAAACGGGCCATGCAAAGTTATGGTTGAATTGGGCTTGTAGTCTGCTTTGGGGGTTTTACTAGCATTTTCTACATTGGTAAGTGATACTTAGTAATTTTATAGATAATCGCCGTCCTTGTTTACCTGCCACTATAAGCAATCAAGGCGGAGTATCTCCAAGGGTAGTCCCACATTAATACAACACTGCTGTTATGACTCTACGTGTCTTTCGTACGACTGCCCACCCAACATATTAAAATATTTTTACAAATTTTTTTTTTCTTCAAAATTTCTTTTAAATATAATTTTGCGCACAGTTTGTTTAGTTTCAATTGCATTGCTTGACCGAATTCAATTTGTTAAAACCGAAAAATGCAATTTTGATTTATTTTGTATTTTACGTTTACATTTTTCGAAATCGTTAAAAATAGTTGAAATGCATAAAGCTATGAATTTTTCATGTTTGTGTGTGTCTGTTTGTGTGTGTGTGTGTGTGTGTGTGTGTGTGTGTGTGTGCTTGCGTCTGCATAGGTGCTGTGTAGTGCAGTAAGTCAATGGACCAGTGCCGACATTTACGTCAATGTGAATGCTTATAGAAGTTTAGACACATACATACATACATACATGCATACATACATATGTATGAACGTATATAAATGTATATATTTGCATGGTCGTACATATTTGTATATATGTGTGTATATATGATTATATATTTTTTGCTATATATATATATATTTACTCATATATATGTAAATGTATGTATGTATGTATGTATGTATGCATCTACATATGCATGTTTCAATATTTTTTAGCTTCATATCTGTATATACATACATATGTAAGTGGGTATGAATGAAAATATTACAACGCCACTACAAAATATTCTAAAACACATGACCATGCATATAAGTACAGTAAGTACACATGTACGTGTATGTACGTATGCACATAAATAAGTATTAGGCACAATGAACTCGCACACTTTGCATAATAAGTGCTTTTTTTTATAGCACCGTAAGAGATTAGGAGGTCTATAGCGATCAACAGATTATACGAAATTACGCGAGAATTACATTTTTTCTTCAGAAGGAAGTTCAGTCGTCCTATGGGTGAATTTATGTTTGTATGTACATATGTGAGCTTGTTTATTTTTCATTATTTATCAACAATTTATGACTTTTTGCGCTTCCTAACCCATTCGATTTTGCTTTGTTTCTTGTTTATTGTTTATTTTTGCAGGCGAGACTAGTCTAAGTCATCGGGGTCATCTGAGGGAGAGCTCAACAAACGGGCTGTTTCGGCTATGTCGGACCGAGTCTCAAGTATGGTTATGAAAGATCTAAGTAGACTACAGTTTCCAGATTTTACTCGCAACTCTTGAAGTGCTTCCAGCTCTTGCTTGGTAAAGAGTTGCGTGCTTGTTTGCCGAGAACAGAGTTTAAGAAGGTGTAGACGGTCTCTCGGTGAATGATGTTTAAAGCCTATCGCTACGCTGTGCTCTTTAGCGATTATTATCTTAATTATTGTATGGAATCGTTAGAGTCAAGTAATCCCTTTCGGATGTGTCCCGGTTGAGGTTCGGCTGCTAGGGTGTCTGTTCTGATGATTCAGACGTTAGCATTCCAGCAGATATTTATACTGGGAACTTGCAAATTTGGCTGTGTAAGCAACGTTTTGGTATTGTCAGGTGGTTTCCTGTGACAGTCCTTAGTTCTCAGGCCGGTGTTCTAATATGCTTGCAGTTTCTTCAAAATTCAGTTCGGTGCAGCTTAGTTTGCGCCTAACCGTGTGGCCAATTGCCTTGCATGTTGCAAGCAGCGTTACTTTGTGTGTTGAGGAAACCACCCAGAGTAACGCCTTGCTTAGTTTTTCGGGAGTTTTCAATTTTGATCTCGTATTCCTACGGATCAGTCATCCGACTACTGAGGCAAATCATGGATCAGCTCCTTCCCACCGATGGTAATAAAGATCTCTCAAAGTCTTTTGAGGAGAAATTCTTCTGCCGCTGGGACTAAATGTTTAAGCACCAGAATGCTTATTCCGCCAACTTCCCCAATAACGTCCTGAATATCTTACTTCTTACAAAAACAAGCGCTACACAGATACTTCGTAGTTTGCGCAGGCGACGAATCAATTGTCTGTTGGTTCTGTCCATGGTAAGGTGTTGTGTGAAAAGTCAAAATGTGGTCACAAAATTAGATTTACACGTCTCAAGGTTCCAGGACCTTAAGTGTTTTCCCTATTTGTTCCGCTTGTGATGGTTGAGCAGTTCCAGAAACGCCAGAATGTATTCTTTAATACGAGAAGCTCACGCATCGGAAAAGAGGAGACCGCCAAACTAACCCGCCTTTTAAAATTGGATGCTCGTCCACTATGCGTCAGGGAGGGATGAAGTGGGAAGCAGTGGTACTAGATGGTTGACCAGCTGTCGAAACGTCATATTGCGTTCCTTCATTCGGGGATGACCTTCGGTTGACTCGTCAAGAATGTTCCCATAGTGTTCAAGAATGTTTCCACGGTTAGGGATGCCTGTCGTGAGAGGCGACTAAAATCCAAAAGTTCCCGGGATAGTCGGACCTTTATACCGGAACGAACTGACACCTTCGCAACATTCCCCAAAAACTATTTTGGCGAATATTTTTGCGGCTGCAACAATAATAATAACAACATAAAACCCGCGGATGCCGCTACCACCTACACAGATTTAGTATAATTTTTTTAATATATTTACATTTCTTTTCACGGTTGCGATAGACTACTTTTGAAACTCTCTCTCTCTCTCTCCCTCTCCCTCTGGGCAGCGGTAGAGTTAACACCACAGAGAGAATTCATCGAACTTTCTGTTGATTTTTAGGCTTCCAAATAAATCGGCTATTAAATAAAATATTGTAAGACACATAAAACATCTGTATTTATCCTTGCTGTATAGTATGCCAATACACCGCCACTGCGAAGAGTCGCCTAAAAATGCTTTAATTTCTTATCACATTTTTTTTTTGAATAAAAACCAAACTTTGGCAGACTGCAGAGATTTATTTGCTTCAGTGAATAAAAGGGCCTTGACCTATATTATGGTCATTCGTGTATTTGTATATGTGTATGCGCGAGTGCAAAACTATTAGATGTGTATGCAAGCCTGCAAGCCTGCATGCATACATATATTATACATATGTACATATGTATATGCACATATCTGCGTTATTATGCATTTTCTGCAGACGAAAACCATTAAATGCAGCCAAAATGCGATTTGTAACAAAAATGCTTGGAAAATATTACAAAGATGCACAAAAGTATGTATGTAAGTATGTAAGAATATAATATATACGAATGAAGTTGAGTGAAATGCATACCATAAATTATGTATACATGTGTATATTTGATTAGGTATTTCATTTTAGATATTAATTTATTATCAAAACTCACCTGTCTTCCATACGCGGTCTACGTCCCAAAAGCGCATATACAGAACTCTGTTGACGCAATTCCCGCCAACATTGATAATCTCCTTGTCCACTACCATCGTTAATTTGCTTCAAACGATTCGCTTTCTGACGTCCCAATGTCGTCTGTATACGTCCCAATAAGCCACGACTCCATGTGTCAACAGCTTGTAAGTAAATTAAGAAAATGAATAGAATCACACCGAAAAATATGACTTCGGGTCGTAAGACATAGAGACGGCATAGCTTCCATATGTATGCTAAGGGTGAATTAATGGACGAAAAGCCCACAGCGAATTTCGATAGGATCTTCATGTGGGAAACGTATGCTTGGTAAAAGACTTTATCCTCCAACTCGTCATCCATGTGTTGAAAATACTAAATTCACTTTCAATTATAATTTAGTTAAGTATTTCTTTCTTTTTTTTTGTATAGTCTTCTATTGAATTATTAACTTTGTGTGCTTTTCAGTAATTTCAATGTTTTTATCAGCTGATTTGGCTTTTATTTATCTTTTATTGGCTCTGCTTATTTGTTTTGACTAAGTGTCGGTAGAAAAAAAATTTTTTTATTCCTATGCATACATAAATATTCTGTGTAAATACAAAGCGAGGGGAACGAAAGAAATATTTAATCTGTTGTTTTAATTATTAAATTCTTGCATAAGCATGAAAAAGCAAAAATATTTTCCTTAATAAAAATTTTTGAGAATTTCTCGTGCCTAAACCAATAAATTAATAAAATAAATTCCCTTTTTTGCATACACATATGTATATACATTTAATGTAATATATATTGGGTTGCCCAAAAAGTAATTGCGGATTTTTCATATAGTCGGCGTTGACAAATTTTTTCAACGGCTTGTGACTCTGTAATTGGATTCTTTCTTCTGTCAGTTATCAGCTGTTACTTTCAGCTTGCTTTAGAAAAAAAGTACGCGAAATTTTGTTTACATTTGTTTGTTTGGTGCCAATTTTAATGTGGAGCCCACAAAGGAGCATTTTCGTCATATTTTACTTTATTATTTCCGTAAAGGAAAAAACGCGGAGCAGGTTGCAAAAAAGTTACGAGATGTGTATGGTGATGAAGCCTTAAAAGGAAGACAGTGTCAAAATTGGTTTCGAAAATTCCGTTCTGGAGATTTTTCACTTAAAGATGAGCCACGTTCAGGTCGGCCAAATGAAGTTGATGATGACCAAATCAAAGCATTAATCGAATTGGATCGTCATGTAACTGAGCGTGAGATAGGAGAGAAGTTAAATATACCAAAATTAACCGTTCATTATCACATAAAAAGTCTTGGACTGGTGAAAAAGCTTGATACTTGGGTACCACATGTATTGAAAGAAATTCATTTAATACACCGAATCAACGCTTGTGATATGCACCTTAAACGCAATGAATTCGATCCGTTTTTAAAACGAATCATAACTGGAGATGAAAAATGGATTGTTTGCAACAACGTTAGTCGAAAGCAATCATGGTCCAAGCATGGTGAACCAGCTCAAACCACTTCAAAGGCTGATATCCAAAAGAAGGTTATGCTGTCTGTTTGGTGGGATTGGAAGGGTGTCGTATATTTTGAGCTGCTTCCAAGGAACTAAACGATTAATTCTGATGTTTACTGTCAACAATTGGACAAATTGAATACAGCCATCAAGGAGAAGCGATCAGAATTGGTGAATCGTAAAGGTGTCATATTCCACCAGGAAAACGCTAGACCGCACACATCTTTGGTCACTCGCCAAAAACTGAGTGAGCTTGGCTGGGAACTTTTGATGCATCCACCATATAGCCCTGACCTTGCACCATCAGACCACAATTTATTTCGATCTTTGCAGAACTCCTTAAATGGTAAAACTTTCGGCAATGATGAGGCTATAAAACCGCACTTGGTTCAGTTTTTTGCAGATAAAGGCCAGAAGTTCTATGAGCGTGGAATAATAAATTTGCCAGGAAGATGGCAAAAGGTTATCGAACAAAATGTCAATTATATATTTGATTAAAGCTCATTCTAAGATTTAATAAAAATGCAAAAATGCTGAAATGATTTTTCCGGCTGAGCTTATACTCCAACTTTTTTTGTTCGTTTTGTCGTTTTTCCAGCTAAGAAAGATCCTTCCCCTACTATTCATACTAAATCGATTCCGAACGGCTGATGTATTTTTTGTGAGGAGCTTTTGTTTTATGTCAGAAATAAACTTTTATTTAAATTAACTTTCCATAATTTTTCGATGTTGGTACGACTAGGACTCGAATCTTGGCCTTCCGAAAGGCAGTACACAATGCTATCCACACGCCTATATCAGCCACGAATGTATATATACATATATGTATGTGAGTACATTAGATTTAAATTAATATACTCGTACATACATATGTATGTAAATACCAGTCATTGCGTGTCGACACTTACATATATGTATGTATGTACATACATAAATAAATGGCAAATAAGTTTGACACTGGCACTCAAGAGTCAACGCGACAAGCAAAACTAAGATGCTTTTAAGGAGATGTCCCTGCAGTCATTGGCAAGACGAGGTGGCTTATGAAAGTGAAATACATACATATTTACCAAAAGTCGAAACCGTTTTCATTAAAAATCTGCTTGTAAAAACTTTCAGTTGATTTAAAGTGTATAAGCCAAGTATATTTTTCATTAAGATGATTTGAAAGTTTTAGTTTAAAGAGTTATTTTTACGCGGACATTGCCTAAGAAATTAAAATCTTCTTTAAAAACTTAATTAAAGCTAAAAAAAAAATACTTTTACCGGCCTAAAGTAAATTTGACATTGAGTAGGTATTATGTTTAATTTATCGTTTTTGTATATTTTTATTTTTAGGGACCGCACTTGCCGTCATAATAATCGTGACCATAAAATTAGCATGAGACTCATAGCACGTATGAGCTCGCTACACTACTGCTTATTTTCCCAGACCAGAAAAGACAGACAAGAACATATGCGAGTGTTCAACAAACTCTTTGGCAAAGTAAGACAAATATAAAAAAAAACTTTGGTACTTGGATATCGTACATCACAATTGGGCCAACTGGCCAACGGGGAATAATGCATATATAATAACAAAACAAAGAACATTTTCCTTTATAGGAGACGTTGTTGGTACGTGGTGCTTTTGCTTTTCACGACATTCGCATTTTATCACAGTATATTTAATTCTCTTTTGGCACACACTAACTGTTTAGTTTTCCGAAACGATAAGCCAGCAATTAAAATGTATGGCCATAAATTCATATGCTGTATGACATTTATAGGCCAGGCAATAAAAATTAAAGTACAAACAGATGTCCATATACACATACTCATGATATGAATATTGATACTTGATGCCTTTACAACAACATAAGCATCTATGTATACTGATGTTCTTATCATGAATATGTAAAGCAATAAAAATTAAAACATAAGATAAGATTATCTATTCGTGGGTAATCTTCTAATGTAAACATACTTATGTACACATATGCATGCATGTAAATTTTCACATTACAAATTTATATAAATAAACGCTCTACAGATTGTGGAGTCAGTTATACTTAAACCAAGTGAAAGTAAAGTGATTTAATTCCCGCCTCAACACTAACTTTGTTTTTCACTGTGTGTGAATATTTTTAAATTCGTTCTTTTTTATAGAATATCGCTGCCGGTGTCACTGTTGTTGCGTGCCAAAAAAAAAGTTCACATTTACGCATACATACATGCATGCCGATGTGTGTTGGTATTTTTATTTTCACTTTGTGTTGTTGTCGGTGCTTTTGAATTTCTTTATTTAAAATGAGGCACAATTCCACAAAAATTTTATTGATCAATTAAGTGAAATTTATTTAAGGGGAAAGGTCATTCATTTGCAATATGCATTCACACCGCAAGTTATGTACATTGCTACACACGTATGTATATACATTTGCATGTGTAAAATTACTGCAGTCTGCTAATAACTATTATGTATATATGTATGTACGTCAAACGGTGCAATGGCCTTTTTTGTAGATGACGCATTCGAAAACAGATGATGTCGAAACACCAATGTCCACAGTCGGCAATTATACTTTTTCGCTTTGTTGCTTTTTCACAAATATTCTAATCGTTATTTATTTATTTGTAATCTGTTCGCTTGACTTTTCCACATATTATCCACTTGTTGACACTAACGGGATTTATCGACGACTGACCATAGTAGCATATGAGCTGCCAATTCGCCCCACAAATAGCCCCAAATTGCAGCAACAACGTTTATGACAGCGGAACGGTTGGAATTGAAAAGACAGCTGTACTCGGTGAAGCTACCAGATCGTTGAAAAAGATACTTTTAAAGTGAAATTTGGGATTTAAGGGATTTTATGAAGTTATATATTGTTGCGAAAATGCGAGGCGAATG